CAATGCCCCTTTTCTCCAATGACATGACGATGTAGGAACCTCACGTGGTTGTAACCATGTCATCTGTATCTTTGATTAGTCCTCATTATTAACGGTGTAGCTGCAGACAAACTGCTTTCCCTTCTCCCGCATGAACCTTATTTTCCATTAACGTGCCATGAAGTTTAAAAATGTATTAGAATCATAGAATCACAGAATGGTCTGGGTTGGAAGGGACCTTAAAGATCATCTAGTTCCAACCCCCCTGCCATGGGCAGGGACACCTTCCACTAGACCAGGTTGCTCAAAGCCTCATCCAGCCTGGCCTTGAAGACATCCAGGGATGGGGCATCCACAACATCTCTGGGAAACCTGTTCCAGTGCCTCACCACCCTCTCTGTGAAGAATTTCTTCCTGATATCTAATCTAAACCTCCCTGATTTCAATTTATACCCATTACCCCTTGTCTTATCACTACAGGCTCTTGTAAAAAGTCCTCTTGTAGGCCCCCTTCAGATACTGGAAAGCTGCAATGAGGTCTCCTCGGAGCCTCCTCTTCTCCAGGCTGAACAAGTACAAGTATTAGTACTTTTTCTGGCCAATTCTGACTCCAAAATACAGAGTGGGGTGAGCATGGCAGGAACCTCTTCCTGCAGACTTCTGTCCAGGAGAACAGGTGATTTCTGGAGTGCTGTTTCCAACATATATCATGGAAATTCCAAATTGAAGATTCATGAAAGCCCATCAGTTGTTTTTCAGCTGCCTCAGTGTTACTGGCATATTCAAATGGCCCACGAGACCCTGCAGGCGGCTTGGTATCCCAGATTTTAATTTTAATAATTTCTCATTTTCTAGACTACTTTACAGAAACCACGTTAGAAAGTCATCAGCACGGTTGGTAATCTACATAATCCTTGGGACTGCTCATGCCAATTTGCAGAATGCTGCTAGTAGAAAGTAAAAACGGTTTATAATGAAAAATACCCTAAAAGAGCTATAATTTCCATTGTTATTTTTCTCGTCAGTTGTTGATACCTGCATTTCTGTATCATTGGTTACATTTTAGAGGAAATTCTGCTAAGTAGGTGTTAAATAAGGCTAAATATTCTGCTAATGATAGATTAAATACCACTTACAAGTGCAACCAGCGTATTTAACGGAGATATAATCACGCTGTACACCTTAGCTCCCTTTCAACTTCTCTTCCTGTCCTGGAATATAATTAGGCTGGAGCCCTGGGGACACACGTATCGCTAACCAATGTCTCGGTGATCTTGCTGGAGACAAAGTGTATGTCACGTCACAACCGAGTCTGAGGCGCTGATTCTAAGAATAGACACAAATTTCCACTGTTAGGTGCAGCAGTAACGTGAATTTAGACTACCAAGAATATGTAATACATCTTAAAGAAAAAGTAGCCCTTAAAAATAATTTTCAATAAATAATTTTAAGGCTAACAGGAGGCAAAGAGGGTAGTTAAGACCTACTCAGAAAACGTAGTAATTCTCTCTCTCTGCGTACTGTGTTAGAGCCTGTGAAAAATGTGGTTAGTGACTAACTTACATTTCCTGTTTTATAGCCCTCCTAAACCAGCTACTCTGAAGGGCCGGCGTGTTTACGCACTGGGAGACCTTAGGGCCAAAGGCAGGAAACTGTGGTTCAGCTTCCTGCTCCGGCAGCGGTGGCTGTGCTAAAGTGCCAGCTGCCCAGGCCTTGGGTATGCAGCCTGCACTGCAGAACATGACGGCCATACTCTGCACTGGGACGAGACGATGTGTACTCGTGCCCACCTCCTCGCCAGAAAAGCGATTCCACTCCACCTGGAAGCTGGGATGCCTCGAGCCACATCTCTGTGTGGTTCTTCCTTGTGTCAAGGCTTGCCAGAAACGTTGTGGATGGAGGATTCCAGAGGCACCTGAAAGCCAGGAGATAACCAGCCATATGAATGCACAGCTATTCATAAATGAAGCGCCAGTAAGCTGCCCAGTAGCTTGCTCTGCAGGTAGAGGAGATTTGGCTGCTACTTTTGATCGCCCAGCCAGGCTGGCAAACACCCAACGCCCGGCACTCAGAGCGGGTACAAAGGAAGACACAAGGCAACTCAGCGCTGGCCAGGCAGCCCAATGGGCAGGGAGAGCAGTGAAGGAGTCTGCTGGTCAGCTCAGCACAGTGGCGTTTCAGCCGTCCATAACAATTCAGTGTGTTGCATCGTAAACTGCTGACAAAATGCATCCGTCTGAGTTTAGTGCAGGACTAGGCTGCTTTCCTCTGGGTGCGGATCTCTTGAGTCCTTGTCCTGCGAATGGAGGCTGCTTCAAGCGTGCCATTTCCCTTAAGCTGTGATTAGCATTTACTTCCCCATGCTGGAGTTAAATTTAGCAGTAGATTGACTTAGGTGTTAAAACTAGAAACTTACTAAAATCCTCAGATTTTTCTTTCTAGAACAAACCAGGAATGAATAAAGCGCTCTCAGAAAGTGGTAATTTCTATTCACATTTTACAATTATAATTATGGTAATTCTAATACTACAGACCATTAACATTTAAGATATCTGACATCGTACAGACTTATTAATACAGAACTGAATTACTCTAAGCACAACTTGGAATATGATTTCTTACTGAGATTCCACAGACTTTAAGTAACTGGATGTGCCGGTTTCAGTTGGGACAGTTAATTTTCCTCACAGTAGCTAGCCTGGGGCTGTGTTTTGGATTTGTGCTGAGAAGAACACTGATAACACACTGATGGTCTTAGCTGTTGCTAAGGAATGTTTATGTCAACTCAAGGACTGTTTCAATTTCTGACACTGCCCCTGTGTTCCCAGCTTTTGCTCTACAGGAGTCTGGGAAGGGACACAGCCAGGACAGCTGACCAAACTGACCAAAGGGACGTTTCATGCCATCAAACATTATGCTCAGTATATAGGTTGAGGGGGTAGGCCAGGAGGGGAATCGCTGCCTGGGGACTGGCTGAGTATTGGTCAGCAGGTGGTGAGCAGCTGCATCATCTTGTTTTCCTTCCCTTTTTTCCTTTTTTTTTCCCTCCAGTTGCATATTATTATTAGTAGTATTTTCATTACATACGATTAGTATTATTAGAACCATTATTTTATTTCACTTACTTTCAATTATTAAACTGTTCTTATCTCAACCAACAAGTTCTCTTATCTTTTTCCTCCAATGCTCTCCCCCATCGTACTGGGGGAGGGGGGAGGTGAGTGAGAGGCTGTGCAGTGCTTGGTTGCTGACTGGGGCTAAACTGCTTATTCATGAATAATAATCAAATTAACAGAACATGTCAATTTATTTCAGATCTATGAAATACAAATCTAAAAATATCATTTGACAGACAATATTCACCATTTGGTTTATATTTTAGTATGGTCTTAAGCCTATCTTGCACAGAATAATAATGCAACAGAACAACAAAATATTCTACATGTCAACTTTTTAGATTTTCTTAACTAGAGCCTACCATATACATCAAAAATAGTTGTGCACAGGAACCAATTAGACATCTACATTTCAAGAATAGATTGGCTATATCTCATAACTGAGACACCAATTACAGTACATTTATTAAAAATCCTTCAAGAATACGCTCAGTAGTAACAGTGGTGGCAGTAGTTAAAATCTTAATAGTTCTGTGAAATGATCAAAGCAAATGATAACAGAATGTAAAAATTCAGTTAATCATTTATATGTCATGTAAAGCCCATGTAACACTACAATGAAAGAAGAAATTACACGGGCACAAGTGCAAAAAAGCAATATTGTAAGACATTTTCTCTCTTTGGTAAAAATCAATTAGCAGGAAGTATACCATAATAATTCAAGTCAACGACCAACTCATGCTATGTATTTTTTCCTTTCCTACCCTAGGCAGACTCGATGATTTACAGGCATCTTACAGTAGAGAAGTTAAAAATCTATTTAACACTGCCCATTTTTTCCTCTTTAAAGTTTAAATATTGAAATTAAAGATAAGGATTTTTTTTTCTTTCATAAATAGTTTTTCAGTAGTATAGTCTCTTGAGGAATTTAAAAATAAATAGCAAAATATACACAATTTCAAAGATTACATTTAATTCCTTCTGGGTTTATCCTGAAAATATATCATCAAAGAAGAAATAACTTTGGGTTTCTCAAATATTTGGTAAAATGTCAATTACTCTTATATATGGAGTTTTCTCTGAGGAATCAGGAAGTACCGTTGCTTTTTCTATAAAGCTTTTACTACACAGGTGGAGTTTTAGTAACTTTACAGTAAGAATATAATCTGTAATATAATATGGATGTTCCCCATTAAAAACTATGTAAAAAATCCTTCAAAACTAAACCTTCAGAATTGCAGGTTCAAACTGGAGGAACTTCCAGGTAACTGAAGTTTTCCTGGCAGGACAGTCAAGCTCAGCTGTCCATGTGAGGAGGCTGCAATAAAAGTAGGGTAGTTTCCTCTAGCGGTAGAGCCAAAGCTGTTTTCTACTGACAACAGATTAAAAATCCCAAAAGGACAAAGTCTTAAGGAAGGGACAAAAGTGAAGGTTGTGGGTGAAGAACACTTGAGTATCAGCCACCCTGAGAAAGAAGTGAACTGCCTACCAGGATTTTAAATAGATTCTTCTGTTTTTGAAGGGCTCGACCCTCATGAACAATTAAGGTAATGTCACAGGGGATTTCTGGTTGAATTTGCAGGTTATCATCTTACTCAAGCTCCTCCTCCATGTTTATCTGAAATTATTACTAAAGAAAATAAGAAAAAAGCAGGCCACATCAGCAAAGCAACTAGTTAAAAAGAATCCAGCAACCTGAAGTGCCATTAGACATTAAAACAAAAAATCTTAACTGCAGGAAGGTCTTCAGAAGAGGCAGAGCAAACGTCCTTGCCTTTTTAGAAGATCCATTTAAGCTGCCAGCAAAGTAAAGACAAGTTTGACTGCCCATTTACTTGGAATTCATAAATAACATGTAGATTCACTAACCTCCTATTCACACCCACAGTTAAGTTACAGAAAATATTAAGCAGAATGCTTTTCTACTCCTTGTTTGATTCCAAGCACAAGATGTAAAAACCAGTTAAATTGCACAGTCCAGCCCTTATCTCTGCAAACCTCTATCTGATCAAGAAAATGCTTTTTGGCATCTTCTTCGCTTTTCCCTACTGTCAGTGCGTCCCGGATATATTCAATATCCTCTTTGCTGGTTAATTGGGGCATTCCAGTCATCAGCATCATGGAGAACAGGATGATCAGAAGGTTTGTGTGATGTCGAAGAGCTAAATAAGCCTTCACACATACGTCCTGCAAGAGAAAAGAGTTTCTTGTTAATTGATGAGGTGAACTAAGAGAGATGACGTAGGAATTTCACAGGACTCTCATTAACCAACATATTCAATCTCTCGAGTACGTCAGAGAGAGGAGACCTGAGCCGTTCACCCGAGCAGAAACATGCAGTGCATATCTGTGTCCGTCGCTCGGTATTACTTCATTCATCACCACACCTCAGGGCAACAAGTACTGGTTTGGTGTACAAGCTAAAGGCTCTTTTCAATAATCTTACGTTAATTAATAAGCACAAAACCTTAGCTTCACCAAAATCCCAAATTAATTTCCATGTCGTATAACCTCCTTCTGTGGCTGTTAAAAGAGACAGCAATAATTCTCTGTCTTCCCTTCCAACTGGTATGTTCCTGCGGCAAGAGCATGGCTGGCAAGTGACGCTGAATAAAGCAGCACCTCCAGGGGACTGTTCTTCATTTTATGTATGTGTCTATTCACTCTGCAGAGGTGATGGCTTCTTTCACGGAGAAGGTGTTTCAGGCTTGGTGTTCTGAGAAATTTTTCCAACTGGCAGCTCTAGTTTCCAGGCACACTGCCTTGCTGTAGGACTTCTGTGTTTATGTACTGTCATCCTGGATTCCACAGATTTTTTAATAGCTTTTTCACTTCCACATATAAGTAATTTGTGCCTAACAACATAACCTTTAGAAGAATTAAATTTCTGCAGCTTGGAAAAGCACACAATGCTTTTTAGGAGAAAATTTAATGCTAAGCAACTAATACATAAACTGAAATGATTATTTCCTACATTAAATTTATTACTCATTTACTTTCAGAAATAACATCTTAAGGAAGACAATGCAATGAAGAAATCAATCACATATTAGAAAGTTAAATTGGGCCTGCCATGCAGTAACGTAAAAAGATGAAACGTACTTTCAAGAAGGTTGTTGCTACTAAAACCAAAGCTGAAGCAATGCTAATTTTTACCCAATTAAATACTCAATTTAACCCTTCCGCAAATGTAGGTGAATTTGCTAAAGAGCTCTTAAGAAATCCAAGTATTTTCATGTAAAGTTCCACCAAATCTCATCAGCCCTCTAGAACACCATTTACTTTTGACAAGGAATATGGTTTTTTCCTTCCTTAAAAAGAGTAAGAAGTGCACAAATAATCTGAACATCCATCACTGTCACATCAGCAACAGCAGGACAACCAACCAGACAGGTCAGGAAGACAGTAAGGATGCAAGTTGATATATATATATGTTGAAGATCTGTCTGTAGGGTTGGGTTTTCCCTACTGCCTGGGCACTTAAATCTTTCCCTGTTTCCAAATAAATTCTGTCCTGATGGAAGATCATACTTATGAACTCTAACATTAGTTTAGCTGTAGCGAAGCAGAAAATAAATTGCAATGATCAAAGCAGAATTTACAACAGAAAACACCATCATCTTATCACAGGGATTAGTTTCCCTCCCTGACAACAGGGGAAAAATAAAAAATAAAAAAAAAGAAATTCTACTTATGTATTATCAACTTCAAACAGGGAAATCTTGTCACAAAAGTTAGTGTGTGTTTTGTTGCCCTTGAAAGAGATGAAAGCTCTTTATAGTTCTATCAAAGAAGGTTTTACATTTCTCTGTGGCTGATGCATCTCACTACTGCGGGTGTCTGAGACAGAAAAACAATAATGCAGCCAAGAACCTGGCACTGCTGCATCTCCAAGGCAGTCCTTCCAGGAATCCAAAAGATTTTAAAAATCTGTATCTGCCTGTTACAGTTATTTATTCAGACAGGAACTGAATGGAGTTTTGAATTAACATCTTCCAAGTACACCGATTTTTTACACTTCTGAGAGGCAGGGAGAACCAAAAATAACGCATACGCATGTGTCGGGGATATGTAGATGTTTACCGTGGGATTAAGAAGAAAGCTGCTAACTAATCTAAAGCCATAGGCAAAATGAGTGGAGCCGATGACAAACCAAAATTCTGTCGTCCAACAGACAATAAAGAATAATTATTTTGAGAGCGTGAAACTGTCCTAAGTATCATAGAATCATAGAATCATAGAATGGTTTGGGTTGGAAGGGACCTTAAAGATCATCTAGTTCCAACTCCCTGCCATGGGCAGGGACCCCTTCCACTAGACCAGGTTGCTCAAAGCCTCATCCAGCCTGGCCTTGAACACTTCCAGGGATGGGGCATCCACAGCTTCTCTGGGCAACCTGTTCCAATGCCTCACCACCCTCTCTGTGAAGAACTTCTTCCTGATATCTAATCTAAACCTCCCCACTTTCAGTTTAAACCCATTCCCCCATGTCCTGTCACTACAGGCCCCTGTAAAAAGTCCCCTCCCAGCTTTCTTGTAGGCCTGCTTCAGGTACTGGAGTATTAGTAACTAAGGGTCAGGCATTTTTATAATTCAAAGTATCCAAGTTCTGTTACATGGGCCCTCACCCTTTTGCTTTGTCACCTTTATTTGACAGCCAAATACGTGAGATTTTGTAAACATTTGATACAGAGAATTTGCTTAGTTTGCTTGAAAATACAGATCTCTGCATTATCAAGTTAGCAGAGTAGTGAAAAAATAATGAATTAATTAAATATAATGAATACAAACGCATTAAAAATTTAATGCAAAAGCTAGCAAAGACAATTTTAGACAAACTAGGAACAGGCAGGTAGACAAAGCTCAGAAGGCTACGAGGATCTCAGATGAGGCTCTCTCAAGAGTTCCTACAAGTAAGAAGTGAAAAAGTTGCATGTACATAGGAATAAGAGAGTTGCATGGATTTCAGCTAAAGGCTGGAAAGGAAATGTCACCACATAGGACACTTAGAGCAAGACAAATCTGGACAGTACTAAGGCAGCTGAAAAATTCATAGATGGAACAGAAGAATACTTGTCTTCTCAGATTAAGTCATGCCTAAATACATTTTTGTGATTAGGACGAAAGACCATCAAATACCACTTCCTATTAAGCACGTCTGTGATGTCTTTGATAACCTCTGGCCTCTAATCTTCATTAAACCATCATAAGTAATGCAAAGCTATAGGAGCTATGGCTAACACATCTCTATGGGCTCTATCCAGTAGGTGACAGAGAATTTTTTAAGAAGAAGATAATTTAAAACACTAAAAACACTAAAGCCTGTAAAAAGCAAAGGACTCCTCTAAAGTACAACCTATTTTAATGTGGTTGAAGTACAAATTAATGAGAGACACTCTTAAAAATTAATGAAGGATAAATGCTGAGATTTCTCCATTAATACATAAATGAGTCAGCAGGCACACTGAATGAATCCTTCAGTATTAGGAAACATGATGAAACCAGCCAGTTGAAAAGTGAATCTATAATTTTGTTTATTTTTGTACTCTGACCATATAATAAAAACATACATTTTTTACAGAAAAATATGTGATGCATAACTTGCTCTGTGTTACTATTTTACTTGTATGGAGATATTTTAACTTTCTTTTTATTGGCCTTTGAGACAGAAAAGTCTTTTAACGTACTGCCGGAATAGCAATTTATAAACAGTACCTCTTGGTCAGTATTATCACTGTCTCTGCCTAAATCATCCCACGTAAGATGACCAGGTCACATATCACCGTCACAGTTCACAAAGGTAAAGCCGATTAATCACCTTCCATCTGGTTAGGGAGACTTAACGGAAATGACACTGGCAGCATCACGGCCTTCCTAAACCCTCCGCATTAGTGGGATGGTAGCAGGATTTAGAAATTTGTACCAGAGTAACAAGACGTGTGTTCAGTCAAGCCCAGGCCTGCATGATGAAGGCACGGCTCACTAATGAGCAGCTAAGGCCAAAATCACCTCTTGCTGCTTTTGTTATGCGGGCTGCTGAAGTAAAGGTCAGATATTCCCTAAAAAGCTGGATGATCCATACATATGACCACAACATTCCCCACTGCAGACACTACCAGGTTGCTAGCCTTCCAATTCTCCATCAGCAAGCTTTCACATTTTCAACTCTTTTCTGCCCCCAGAACAGAGGTCTTCTGGGAAATGACGTACCCCGGCGTGGTGTTTCAGCCCACGCTTGCACTGGTTTACAGCTGCGGCAACAGCATCCTTCCTGTACACAGCACAGCTCGTGAAGAGCATGGGCTCAGCATTCCCCTCCCACAGCAAAATCCACCCTGCTCTTAAACCCCTTGAACCAAGAGCCCCTTTCAAAACACCTCCTCGGTGATAAAGCCAGTCCCTGCACGAAACAAAGACTCAAAATTTGTACCCGGTTCTTCAGTTATTTTCAGAAGTCTGGCTCAAGGATGACAAATGCCTCGTTATTTGCTGTACAGTCATGTACGTGCTCAAAGGGACATATTTACCATCCAACAATAAAATTTTAATTGGGTACTTTAATTAGGTACTCAGGTTAGAAAACCAGACTCCTTACCGGCACAGAGAGACTGGCTCATCCCCCCGGGAATACAAAACATCTAAGCTAGGCTTTTGCTTTGACTCACACTGGGGAGGAGACTTTTGATATTATAGGGAAACTGCATTCTAAATCAGGCACTTATTTAAAATCCCTAAAGATGAGCACAGGAATAACACCCCAGACATCCATTTACTTCTGCTCAGCCACGCTCTCAGCCATTTCATTAACTATACTAAACAGCATTTTGCTTTGCCCCCTCGTTGCCCAGGTCCTACACAGGCTTGAAAAATCACACCTGTTTCAGAGGGGCTCAATTTCAAATAGAAGATTATAGAATCATAGAATCACAGAATGGTTTGGGTTGGAAGGGACCTTAGAGATCATCTAGTTCCAATCCCCCTGCCATGGGCAGGGACACCTTCCACTAGACCAGGTTGCTCAAAGCCTCATCCAGCCTGGCCTTGAAGACAGCCAGGGATGGGGCATCCACAGCTTCTCTGGGAAACCTGTTCCAGTGCCTCACCACCCCCTCTGTGAAGAACTTCTTCCTTATATCTCATCTAAACCTCCCCACTTTCAATTTAAACCCGTTTTCCCTTGTCCTGTCACTACAGGCCCTTGTAAAAAGTCCCCTCCCAGCACCCTTGTAGTCCCTTCAGTACTGGAAGGCTGCAAGATGCAGTAGAACAGATATTTAGCACCATTCCTTTCTTTCAGAGCGTTAAGTCCAGCCACTTCCCAAAACCAGACCCCAGAACACACGGACAGAATCAGGAGGGAGTAGCACCGCCAAAGCCAGTTGAGGAACGCCTCGCACCTGCATGGCCTACACAGAAGGGCCTGCTTAGCGCTCGGAGTCTCCATTAACTGAACAAATACTGAAGACCTCCACAGTCTTTTCCATCAAGACAAGAAATAAAGGAAGGGCTGCCTATCTGGTCTGCTGCTAACTGAAGCTTTTCCATGTGGCTTTGTGGATGTTTAAATTCTAGTTCCCATAATCCTACAGACAATTTTTGCTCTTAGTTGGGCCTAAAATATCCCAGAATTGTACTATGATTCAGTAAATTTTATTAACATAATGCCCAGGAGCCTAGACCTTTGAAAACTAAGGCACTAATGTTCATTTCAGAGGGTAAAAAACACTGCTTAATTGATTTGCAGCTAGATACTCTTCCTTTACCTGAAATTTATGGAAATGGAGACTCGTCTTCTTTCCGGAAGTCCCCATGACAAACAGAAAATCCGGAGTCAACACAAAAGGTACTCTTTCCTTATTAATTCCAAGGAAGCTTTTATAATTCCCAAGAATATGGCCAAAATCAATATGGAAAAGGTTACCTTCATAAAGAGAAGAAGTCACAGTTAGGCTCAAATACAATAAACGGCCAAGAACACTTACTTGTATTCACAGTAATTCCAAAACCTTTTTTTTTTTTTGAGGTATATATGATCACACTTCAGCAGAAAAGACTATTTTGTCTCTTTTTTCTGAAATATATAATTCTGTCCTCTTGGCAAAGTTAGTTTTTATTTATCTTTGGCAGTTGTTAAAAACCTGGCAGAACTGCTGTATTTTCTAAACGTACACTCACAGCTTTTCAAAACTCAACCAAGGAAAGCTTGTGCCTCATATCCATAACAATCAGCTCTCAGCACATCAGTATATGGAAAGGGCTTGTGGATTATGTTTCAAACACCCATGGGATTCTGGCACTATCCAGTTCCTTGGCTAATGTCATTCACTAGAACATGCTTCTTCCTCACAGACCTACATTAACAACTTTTAAACCATCCTGTACTGTGCACTGTCACCCTTTTCATAACTTTGAGATAGTAACAGGGTATCAGGTCACAGGAAAGAGATGAAGAACTCCACTTCTAAGGATCACTACACCTACAGGACTGGAGTGCACCACTGGTCCTCTAATTACTTTATTACTTCCATTGGCAGACAGGATGTAAGGACATAAGAGCATGGTTACTTAAAAACATAGATTGATAATAGTGGTACATGTATACAAAAAGGTAAAATATCAAATGATTCAAGATGACACTTGACAGTGATCCTTAGGTAGAACATCCTTAGATGTTCCAGCATTTCAGCCAGTTTCCAAGCCCTCCCAACCTTCCCCAAATCTGACACTCGCTCGAGACAGCTCCTATTACAGACTCTAAGGCCAACTGCTCCTGACTACACAGAACACTTCCTGAACACACTGAACACTTCCTTTCTCTGTCTCCTTTTGTACTGACCTGTCCCTCATTTTCTGCCCATGGGCACTAACACTGCATTCTAGTCTAGTCTAGTCTAGTCTAGTCTAGTCTAGTCTATATCCTACTCTACTCTACTCTATGTAATGTTGAAATTAAAGCATGTCTTTGTCTTCTGTTCCTCAAAGACTTCTGATAAACTTTTTTACTGTAGTCTTCATTTAGCTCATTTCTGCCTTCGGGGTACATCTCTCTAGCTTTCAACTGGTAAAACTTCAACAATAATCTGATTAATATTAAACATACAGCCTTCTAACTAAGCCCAGAAGTATTTTCTGTCTCTTAGCATTACATAAAGACTAATTATGAAGCCAGAGGATCATGAAACTGGAAGTGAATTTCTTCGACCAAATAAAACTCCTCCGTATGTACTGCTCATTCTGGGGTCCTTGCTGAGGCTTCCGTAAGTAAATAATAGTAGGGATGGACCAATCTGCAACTACAGGAATAATTCCCAAAGTTTGTAATAAAAATAAATGTGGTTCTTTCAGGAGGATTGCAACCATCCCACAGACTTCAGCAGCAAAACCAACACAGTACATGTACACTTGTTTTTTAGGATTTTCTACAAAGGTATATAAAGCAATTATGTTCCTCAGAAGTGAAGACAGTCCAGTAACATCTGAATTCTGACACAAATATAGTTCTACTGCACCCTGTCAAAACCACATCCATGCTCCAGACAGGTGAACAGCTGTATGCTTTTTAAAGTCTTTCGGCTTTTAGATCTTGGATCTAGACACTAAAAAAGCCTTAGTTTTACATTCCTCATGACTGACTTGGTAACAAATTCAGCCTTGGAGAAGAATGACATTATTAAAGATAAATATCTAGAGCCTATATGAAGGCCAAACAGGGTTACAATACATTTCAGTGTCACGAGGACGTGAACATGTAAGCAATGCTGACAGAACTGCAATGGGTCTCTTCATTTATTGTTAAATGCATTATTTATTAAAATAAAAGGTAAATATAGTCAAGTACATACAGCCCCCACTTATTCTATGAAATTCTCAAAAAGTAACTCACCTGTTTCTGTAATCATAATGTTGTCATTGTGCCTGTCTCCTATGCCAAGTACAAAGGTTGCCACACAGTATCCAGCACAAGAATAAACAAATCTTTCCACAGCTGCCTGAAACTAAAAATAAATCTCAGAGATGTTAAATGCCTTAGTGCTGAAAACTAAATTCAGTCATTCTCAGTCATACACCTTTCTGTCGACATGTATCTATCAAGAGCTCAGCAAACTGTCTTATAAAACACACTGTTGCCCAGCAGAGATTAAGATCACAGCCCTGCACTGCACTCCCTTTTGTGCGAGCAGGCTTTATCCCTGAGAACAAATAACGTAAGGATATAGTTGTCCATGCTTTCTGGGAAAAAAAGCTGGCAGAAAGCCCTAATAGGTCAGTGGACCTACCTAAGTAAGGGAGTTGTGAGTACCCAAACCTGTATTTAAATCCTCTAAAACCACACTGCCTTTCAGTGTTCTTGGATGTCCTTTCAAGCTGCTTCTCCTGTATCGCTTTTAAATACCACTGACAAAGGAATCATTTCAAAAGCATCTTGTTTCTCAGGAGCTCAGTTTCCAGCTGGATGCTAAAGGCTCTTTCACAGACACCCGTGGCTCAGTACAGGGAAAATGAATGGATTGTTCAAACTCAAGTAACACAAACACAACCGTACAGGCTCTGTCCTCCTGAATTAGTATGGTGCATTTGAAAATCATACTTAAAAATCCAAAGAACTCACCTTCTCTTCTATCATGCATCTTTCCTTGAGCCACTGATTTAGTATTTCATCCTTAAATGCACCAGTGTTGCCAACTGTACTCTGCTGAATTTTGGCAATTGTTGTAGCATCTTTTACAATTTCGATCATTCCTACAGAAAACAAGGAAGAAGTTAGAAGAAGTTATTAAATTTACATAAAAGCATATTAAAAATATGCAAAATTAAATTTAAAACTGTGTTTTTTAAATCAACCGCAGAACTTTATAGGTTGTGAGCAGAAATTTATTTTACAAGCAACAGTGGTTCTTGCTCATTCCCAGCTGAAAACAGCCTGAGCTTGTAACCTGGCATCCTAAACTCTTTCATGAGAATGTAAAACCTTTTAAAATGGAAAGAATCACATGATGAGTGGGGACCCTCTGTGTAAGTCTTGTCTCAAGGAGAGGAACTGCCTCCTGTCCTGACCCCTGCAGAAGCCCAGGTACTATTCACATTCCCACCAGCTGATCTGAGGAACTGAAGAGAAGCTGCAGCAGCCTGGGGACGCAAACATTGCCAGAGCTGCAGCAGAGCAACAGAGCTGGCCCTCCTGCAGTAAATCCAATTTAAGCTTATGCATGTGCATGCACAGAAAGGCTCAGAAATACCAGTACACAGTGAGGTATGGCAGTGGGCTTGCTGGTGGAAAGCTCTGGCTGTTGGGCCCCTGAGGTCGGTCCCTAAACTGAACAGATCCTTGCAAAGGCAATTCAGCACATCTTAGTAGCACAGTGCAGAAACAAGGACTTGCACTGTTCATATTAACATAGCATGTGATGAAGGGCAAGATAGAGAGAAAAGCAGAAAGAGAGGCTTCAACAACTCTGCACTGTAGCCAAGACCAGCAAATGCAGTCTGCCTCACACTGGGCATGCCTGTATGGGGAAGGTTGGATTTCAGTTGAGCTTATTTGGTAACTGGAAATAATGTTTTTTCTTCCTCTGGTTCAAGTTCAACAGTGTCTTCTAGGTAAAAGCCTGGCTTCAACCCCAGCTCAAAGATAAGCAAGCAAACAAAAATATCCTTTTCTGACAAAAGTGGCTTCAAAGCAGCTTTTGATTTGGTTCAGTTTGAACCCCACTCTGAAATGGATGAATTTCTCCCTATTCACCATCCTACCCTCTTGCAATTACTGCATTATATGCAAAGTCTCCAGTAACGGAGCAACAACACAGTAATCTCCTCCTACTCCTGGCTTCCACACGTGGCTGAAGTCAAGGCTGAATACACCCTGATGGTATTTCTTCTGTCTTGACACTGTAATAAAACTATTGTGGAAATATGACCTCCAAACCCCACTGCCAACACCATCAAATTAAAAAGCTCTGCCTTTTGGTCTGTGCTTGTCAAGTGGTTCTTCTCCTCCTAGGAGTGAGCTCCCGATCACATTCCAGCTGTTGAAAAGACTTCCCATCCTTGTGCTCACCAATTTCCCTCTACCAGACAACAGCTTCTTGATTCCGGGGGTGCAGAGCTGTTGCAGGAAGCATTTTCAGCTTCTCCTTGCATTTAAAACTAACTCCCAGCATAGATATGTCAATTAGTACTGTAAAAAGTCCCCAGATTTTAAAGAAGCTGCTAATGAAAACCCTTTACTGATCATTCTCCACTGCATTGCCAAAAGAGCGATATAAAATCTACACAGAATGTTGCGCGGCTTATTCTGCCCAAGCAGATACTTCAAAGGTATCGTGGTAAAAAAAAGTTACGTGCTGGAATAGTATATCTCTACTGGCAAATCCTTCTAAACACAGACATGCCTCTCGGTAGGTATGGTCTGTCCTAGAGAAAGCTTCAGTGACTGGGACAGAGGATCTCAGCTGGGAAGGAGTGCAGCAGTAAATGCACTATGCTATGTGTTTCTGGGGATCTGCGGTACTAAAGCCGGTGACTCTCTTATTAAGTGTGAGCTTGAACTTCTTAAATTTGGCAGTGACACAACACAGTAAGCAGCGCTAACTACCTTGCAGAGCCAGGAACATACAGCCATATCAAAGGGAGAGAGAATAGGGTACGATCCTTTACCAGTGATACATGGAAGAGGTAGTTCTTCCTACGGAGGTCTGTTTGGCAGCAGCAGTGGAGAGGACGGATGTTTCCAAAACTGCAAACGACACTGGATGCAGATGTCTTCAACGGAGAAAGGTCTACACAGGTGGGGAAGCCAGCCCAAGGTGTAAGACACCTGGCTGTTTCCCTGTGCTCAGTGCAGAATTGGGTGCTGTCCTTCTGCCAGCACGCGGGAACTGCCCCAAGTCCCATGGAAATATTAAGAGGGATGTGTATTGGGTTTGTGTGGCACGTTTTGGTGGTGGTAGGAGGAGGAAGGCAACAGGGATGGCTCCTGCGAGAAGCTGCTAGAAGCTTCCCCAGCTCCAAGTTGGACCTACCTCTGGCCACAGCTGAGCCAATCAGCACCTCTGTGATTAATGTATTTAAGTGGGGAAAACAAAGAGACTGGCAGAAGGAGAGAGACTGCTATGCAGACACCAAAAGTCAGTGTAGAAAGGTGGGAGGAGGTGGCTGGAGCAGAGGTTCCTCTCAGCCCACGGTGAGGCTGGTGATGCCCCTGCAGCCATGGAGGGTCATGGGGGAGCAGAGACAACCCCCACCTGCAGCCTGGGGAGGGCCCCATGCTGGAGCAGCTCATGGGAAGGATTCACACTGGAGAGGTTTGTGGAGGACTATCCCCTATGGAACGGACCCCACACTGGAACAAGGGAAGAGGTTGTGTCCTCCTTCTAAGGAGGAAGGAGAGGCAGAGACGTGTCATGAACTGACTACAACCCCCCATTCCCTGTCCCCTGGTGCCATGTAGGGGGAAGAGGTAAAGAAACTGGAGCAAAGCTGAACCTGGGAAGAATGGAGGGGTGGGGGAAGGTGTTTTAAGATCTGGTGTTATCTCTCACTGTGATACTCTGGTTTGATTGGTAACTAATTAAATTGATTTTCCTTCCCCAGTTTGAGTCTGTTTTGCCTGTGCCCATAACTGGAGAGTGATCCCTTCCTGTTGTCTCGACCCATGAGCCCTTCCTTGTATTTTCTCCTCCCCATCCCTCTGGGGGAAGGAGTGAGTAAGCGGCCGCGTGGTGCTCAGTGTCTAGGCTGGGCCCAAACGATGATATGAGGGAAGAAGCAGCTTGGAAGAAGACCACATATGAATATTGTGAAAGAACATTTGCATGCCACTGCTCTTTGGGTTTGTTCCAACCCAGCACAAGCTCTACATCAAAGTGTCCCTCCTTGGGCAGTACTAATTTCGGCTGCAGGTATTCTCAGCAAACGGAACAGGAGTCTTTATGTGATTAACCATGCCCCTAGTGTGGTGCTGAAAGGATGTTAAACTCTTACATCTCCTCCATGCATATAGGCAAATAAACAATTATTTCCTTGAGATAAAAGAATGGGGAGTCAATTATGAATTCATGAAAGAATAATGAAGTCTGTAACTTGAATATAAGAATGCTAGGATCACTGGCAGAATTCTTCCACCTTCCTTCATTATTTCAATACATTGTCTTAAGATTATTTTAAACAAAATTAAATTAAATCCTAAATATCTCTCTAAGAAAGTAGGTTTGTTTTAACATATCTAGAGGAGAGGAAAAAAATGAACCCTCTATTATATTTACAGTTAATATTTTGACATACAATGTTATGTTTCCTTTATTATTATAATTCTATCTATACAATTTATTTAATTTTCAAACACTTATATTAGGAGAAAAGAAACTCTTTTCGTACCACACTACCAAGTACTTTATCCATGATTTTTGGTTTTCTGCACTGCTAAGATATCTTGAAGCCAAAAAAAAGGATGAGAAAATTTTTATGTGGCAGCGTATTTTGGAGAGGAATTACATTAGAGATATATATTTAAGAGTTCTTAATTTCACTGGGAGTCAGTTCATTATTCTTCAATCCATAAAGCAAAATATATTGCTGAAAAAGAGCTAAAAAGCTGGAGATCATGGGAGACACATAGCAACATTTCTATTATCGCTATTTTATCAATCCACGCAATTACTATCATACTGCCAGCTACACTGATGACAGGCATTAACAAACTTGCTAATCTTTACACACGCTCAAGGTTTAAGTAAATGGCAGAGCTGTACTTGCTAATCTGTCTCACTGATGCACTGTTTATACCAGCCAAAGAATTTTTTTTAGCACAAAAGCTCCATTTGGACGTGGCCGATTTTTCTACACTGAGAAGCCTATCCTTCAGCCTATCATTCAAGAGCTGCTTAGCAAAACTGACTCTACCATCAATTTTGTATTATCTGGATACTAGGAAACTGTGCAATGTGGATGTGCTAGGGTACATAATATATGCAAATCCAAGCACAAAGAGTCAGTTTGGAGCCATCAGCATGTATAAATTATGCATCAGTTTCGCATTTCTGGATGTAACTGGACTCTTCCAGAGATTACCAGGTTGCTCTACTACATCACCACACAGTTCTCCAGAAGTTTTGTAACCAACTGCTTGGCTTCTCCCACCATGAATTCTGGAAAATAGACCATCTCTGCTGTGAGAACTAATGCCCACGGCAAACTACTGCCTGAGCACCCTGTTGAGTAATACCGTTGCTTATATGTAGCGTAGCGTAGGAAGCTTTAGGTCAGGGGAAAAAAAAAATGTTTTGCTATCTTAACTCCTTTCTCTATTTCATTCTTATTGACACATTAAAACACGTCTTGAATACATCAGCGACTTTCACGTCTTTTTCGTACCAAATATTGTTGTGAAAGAGAAACCTGCAGCAGGATGCAAACAGCTGGACTTGCACAGGACTCCTCGGCAGCTAAGCTAGTGCAGCAGCTGAAGGATACCCATGAGGAGGGAGATGCAACTGAAGGCTGCTCACAGGAAGTGTAACAAATGGCTATTTCTCTCATGACCACAGTGTGTACTAGAAGAGTTCTCCTACATGCAGCTTCTGTAACGATGGTATTTTGAATTTCTCACCACAGGAAGTGCGATCACGTACCTATTTTGTTCCCTGTAGAAATACAACCATACGGTAACAAACAGAGGTCCAAGGATTCTGCTTCCCAAATGGATTCCATAATTCGAAGAATCTAGTAAAAACAAATGTACACACAAAGTTATTTCAAATTGCTCAGACGTTACTTATTGCTCACACAAATAACACCACCCAGACTTCTGAGATGGGGCTAAGCTTACTTGTCTGTTTCACAGATTAAGGGATAAATACAGAACGTGTGCAGCCATTCAAGATTACCAGTTACAGAACCAGGGTTTATATTTCCTCATCTGTCCTGTGCCCAGGCAATCTCTCCTGTTTTATAAAGTATTAATAAATACATTGTATGATTTCTACATGAGCACAGATTGAACAGGTTAGCAAGTATGTCCACTTTTTCCTATAAATATCCCCCAAAGTGCTAACATACCCATTTCTCAGGACAATCACTAAAATATTACTAGACCAATGCTACCTACTGATTTCTTTTTAATTTGTAACTTCACCCATTGCATAAATAAATTATAAAAATGCTACGTCAGAAAAACAGGCCATCTTGCACTACATCGGTTTCCTTCTCTAGAACATCAAAATGTGAAGTATGGCACATGGCAGGAGAAATATGTGCTGGGTCTGGCTGGGATGCAGTTAATTTTCTTCAGAGCAGCTTGCATGGTGCTGTGGTTTAGATCGGTGACCAAAGCAATGCTGGTAACACACTGATGTCCCAGCTGTCGCTGAAGAGGCTTTGCAGAGCTTCAAGCCTGCCTCTGTTTCTCACTATGAGGCACTGTGAATCGATCCGGGGTGCACAAGAGGTCATGAGGGGACACAACCAGGCAGATGACTCGAATCAACTGAAGAAATATTCCCTGCTGAATAACATCATGCTCAGCAATAAAACCAAGAATAAGGAGGTTAGGTAGGTTAACCACCTTTTGTGCAGGAACTGGCTGGGCATTGGTCTATCCATGGGATGTGGTGAGTGACTGCCTTTGCATCACTTGTTTTGTTTTCTCTGTTTTCTTCCACTTCTCCTTTGCTTATTAAACAATTTTTATCTCAACCCACAAGTTTTCTTGCTTTTACTCTTCCTTTCCTCTTTCCCCACCCCAGCAGGGTTAACCCACAACACAGTAACATAAATTTGTTACATTAGTTTTGATGTCAGCCTTGCCATACACAGTTCAAAAACCAACAGACAACATTATAGTCCATATGGACAGTAAAGATAAGGTATACACACATCTGAGAAGTAAAACTATCTTAAAATATTTTAAAATATTCACATTATTCATTTTATACATTTCAGCTTCATACCTGTAAAATAAGCATGTCCTGACGGAGGTCATCTCCATGTTTGAAGATTATGCCTATGGTTTCATTTGACAGAGCTGTTGGATCTGCACATTTAAACTCAAGCCAGAGGGGCTTCTTCTTTGATGCCATTACTTTACATTTTTCTATCTGTAGAAAGACACGTTTACTGCTCGCCACTGTACTTCAGCCTCAACACAACTAACCTTTTTACACACCAGCCACAGTGTTAACCGACTTCCAGTTAAATACCATTCCTTACATGTGCTTTCCTGTTTCACAGACTGAGGTTCTGAGCTTGTAGTTTTAAAAGGAAACAGTTTTTATCATCTTTGTTTTTAAAAAGGAAAGAAGTTGTTATGTCTCTGAACCTACTAGAAACACGTATTTTACTTCTAATACTTGGTTTAAACTAGTCAGGGTTTTAAGATAATGGACAAGCAGCACTTGCTAGCATGAAGATGAAATGAAAGCCTACCAATACAGTTTATTATATCAAAAATATTTGTTCATATAGTTTTGGCAAAAAAAGGGTTCTAACCCACCTGTTTTTGGACATAGCTACCTTCCCTTGAAAATCTATTGCTTCCTTCCCCTAGGAAGTTCCTGGTAGGCCTGCATACTTCCTAAGTGAAGGAAAACTAGAAAACTCAGAAAAATCTTATATTTTATTTTGAAATCCACTTTTTGTCAAGCAGTTGGCGATTTTTGTACACAAAAAACTGAAAAGAAAGAAATGCAATCAAGAAGATAACATTTAAGAAGCTACAAATCCTGCATTTCTGAGTAAACAATGTTTGAATTGACTTGTGTACCTGACAGTACCTCAGTCATACCCAACTGGGAGGTGTTTAACACTCTCAGCTCGAAGACAGACTAGCTTACAGCCTGTCTATCAAGGACCAGTTTTATTTAACAGAAACATGGCCAGACCTAGACAATGAGTTACCCGAACAAGTACCCTACAATTCAGCAATTCCCTAGGTTGGATGGTTTGTCTGCCCTTAGCTAAGAGAAAAATCAAGGGATCCTTTTCTTGTAGGCTCCTTGCTGCACATCAAGTGAATCCAAGGACCTTCAGTGTGATGCTTTACGCAAACCTTACGTTGCATAATAGATGCATGAGCCAATCCCCTTTCACTACACATGTGCTTGTTTATTAATCTTGATTTTAGATCTACAAAACATGAGTTGACATAGGCCACTGCAATCTCACCACAAAACTGGAGGAAGCAACACAGAAAAAGTAAATGTTTCTTAATGTATTTCTAACAAAATCTTAATGTGTTTTCTAATAAAAGCAACAGAGAGATATTGAAACATCAGAAATAGCAGAGGTAGATATTTTTGTTAGTAAGATGAAAGTCTGGACCTAAATCTTAATGACAGAGATAAATCAGTAGACAGAGAAAGTAACAGGAGGAACAGAAACTGAATATCCCAAAGCCCTTGAAGTCAGATAAATCAGTTTTATACAAGTAATTAATGTTTAAAAAAAAGTCAATTACCTGGTTAAATCCTGGATTAAAACTAACGGAAAAATCATAATTGCCATTTAATTATTAGGATTTTACGGGTTGTTGCATTTTTTTAGTGCATGGTAGCATGTCATTACATTTAGAAAAATGCTAATGTTTGGGAGCAAAAGTTACTGAGTCCATGAGATGTCATTGTAGTCACAGTGAAGTAAGACCTTTAGACATAGTAGCAAAAATTTGTACCAAATGACATACATATGCAAGTAGATTTTTTTCAAAAAGATTTGTAGAAACTCAGGACGTACTTACCACTAGGGCTCCTGCTCTTAGCCCAGGATCATATGGAACTCTAAAACTTTCTGGAAGTTTGCTGCTCTGTAATTTTTCAAGCTTTTGCCTCAGCTGTGCAATAACTGCAATTATAAGTAAGAAAACACAATGAAATCACAAGTTGGAAGGCAAAATTTACAGGCAATCAATACTTGTTAAGCATCATGATTTAACTAAAAACCTACTCAGTTTAGCTACTTTTTAAATTGCTTTCCTTCAGGATCTCCTGATTTGAGGAATGGGGGAAGACGCTAACTTGCAGTATGAATGGTCAGGGCTGTTTCAGATACCTAAAGGCAAAGTCTTCAGGCATGTCAAGTCACATGCCTTCTACAGAGTGTTAGAAGCACTGCACTATGCTTGATGTTATTCTGAAGACTCAGGAGATTACACTAAGATGTCACCTCTACCCCAAAAACTCAGAAGGAGGAGGCAATTAAAAGTACCTTTCATTTTCCAGTATTATTTTGACTGACCTCATTGCTGTTACACACAGACTTGTGGTTTTTGTATTCTTGGGAGTCAATTATACTGTAATCACAGGGACTCCAACTATAGAGATACTGAATTTCCCATCTTCCTAAAACTGGTTTCATAGTGCAACCTTGTTAATCTCACATTTCAGTAAGAAAAAAAATTACTGTATATTTGCATGAACAAGAATTTTAATTGTCACATATAAACTGAATCTTTTCATTCCTAAACCCTCAAGCTTCTGAAACTTCAGCTTAGAACAGTATGCGTTATAATACATACGATACACTTTGTTCATCCCAGCTGGCAGGTATTAGCAGCATAAGCAGTACACTGGTATTAGCCTTCGTTAAGACAAGGATCTAAACGCTGTTCTAAAAGAAAGTACAGCTATGCAGCAGAGGCTGCATATACATGTTCAAGTAATTTTGGAGTTAAAAATTAAAGAGCAAAAAAAGCTGTATTCAGAAAGCTAGACATGGACCTGGATCCACAATATACAAAATCATAAAATCATACAATCATAGAATAGTTTGGGTTGGAAAGGATCTTTATAGATCATCTAGTCCAACCCCACCTGCAACAAGAAAGGATATGAGATACGATTCTGTATCTTCAACTAGATCAGGTTGCTCAGAGCCCTGTCCAACCTGTCTTGAATGTTTCCAGGGATGGGGCATTTACCACCTCTCTGGGCAACCTGTTCCAGTGTTTCACCAACCTCACAGTAAAAAATGTCTTCCTTATATCTAGTCTGAATCTACCCTCTTTCAGTTTAAAACCACTGCCCCTTGTCATGTTGCAACAGGCCCTGCTAAAAGGCCGGTCCCCATCTATGATTCTGTGATTCTTATAAACCCCCTTCAGGTACTGGAAGGTGCTATAATGTGTCCCCGGAGCCTTCTCTTCTCCAGGCTGAACAAGCCCAACTCTCTCAGCCTGTCCCCATAGCAGAGGTGCTTCAGCCCTCTGAGCATCTTTGTGGCTTTCTCTGGACTTGTTTCAACCAGACATTTCAAAAGTTACTATCAAATTAAGAAAGTGAAGCCAAAAGAATTACCAGAGAATTCACAGAACCAAAAGTTACACCTATCCTAAAGCTTTTAGAAAAGGACTATCTAGCCCTGTGTGGTGACTAATGTAGTACCTCTTCTGATAGAAAATAAATAAATCTGAGTCAGATGGAGGAGCTATTAAGCGGACTTAACAGACTTTATTATTAGAAACCTTTCTTAAGAAAAACCCCAACAAACCAAACCAAAATAACCCCCTAGGTTGTAATAACTTGGGTCATGAAACAACTTTCTGGAATGTAACTACTGATTTCCTAGACAAATCTAACTCGATTTCTTTAAGTCTCCTCACTGTATTGTAACGTCATTTGAAAATTGTATGCCAACCAACTCACGCTAGTAAAGATTAGGAATTAGCTGATTTTAAAATGCAAGAGAAGGCACTTGCTAAAACAATTTCAAGTTGATCTGGCTTATGAAGAAAGTTCTATGCATTTTAAGAGAAGAAACAGCTGCACAGGCATGTTCTTGGGAGACAAATCATCTAAGAGAGTGGTGATGAAAGCAGATAATCCTATGCAAGCTGTGATATTATGACCTTAAGGATTTAGTTAGTTAGTTATTATTACTTGCTATGTTCAAATGTAAGCAAAGAGATTACAAGTGAAAGGAACAGTTTGACAGCATGATTGCTACTGGGCTAGTATGGACCTAATAGGAAGGAATTTATTCTTTTAAAAAATTCACAAATACTGGAGGAAAAAAAATATATACAAGAATTAGGTGAGGCTGCATGGCAAAGTGAAATTAAACAGTCTGAAACATTCAGACTGGAAATATAAACAACTACGAACATAAGAAATTATGGGGCAAAATAGAAGCAGTAAACTGAAGAAGAAATTTTAGGATGTACATTTTTAAAAATATAAGAAGTAGAGGGTGCCTGTAAGAAAAATCATATCCTCAATAATCTGAGAATAAATTAAATTAGATATAGCATTAGTAGGACACTCCACAGTTTCAGGAAGCCTTACTGAGTGAAAATGTCAATTACATAAGTCATCTTTCAGTGTTCTGCTGTACCTAACATACAAAGATTCTTTAACTTCAACACCTGGTGGGTGTTAATGTGATTCCTTTCTCTTGAAACTTTTCTTCTTTGCCCACATATCCTCCAAAGATAGTGTATTATGGAAACCTCTGCTGTCACAGACATGTGCATCCGCAGGGCTGTAAAGTTTCTTTCCAAACCATGAGATTCTGACCAAATATATTCAGATTATAGAACATTTTAAGATAAATTTTAGAAAGTTGTTTAGAAAGACTATTTTATATGGGGGATCAGTAAATCCACTAACTCACACTATGTAGTAATGTAAATGCTGTTACATTATATATTGAAGAATAAATGCGTATTTCCTCCCAATTTCTGCTGAAACACCACCACAGCCAATTCTGCATAACCAGAGTGGAATGGCTTTCCGAACCAAGGACTTTCTGGCCTACACCATACCAGGCTGAACACAGGAAGAGTCGGTCCCTCTACAGCTTTTAGAATTTGGATATTGTCATATACCTTTTTGCACTTACTCCCAACACCATAACAAGCTTTTAAGGAAGCTGGGGGTGGGTGGGTGGTGGAAAAAGGCAGGCAAAACCCAGAGGTAAACAGGCATTGCATAATCCTACTGTGGCTTCCAAAGCAGTGCTTAGAGGAACAAGAAATAACAATACCACATCTGTGTCTCACAGGACCCCTATTCAGCACGTGGCAAGGATGTGCTCTGTATATTCACTGCTGATCCCCCAGCTACTTTTGTGGCCTAGCTAGAGGCTGTACTGAGCTCCTCTCCAGTCTTCTTGCCAAGAGTCTTTTAGTGACTGCTTAGGGTAAGGCTGTGTTTCTTGGCAAGTGTCACTTTTTCTCTTTATTTCCAGTTAATTATTGTGTCCTGGGATTTTTTTTTTTAGTTCAGTGCTGGCATTCAGCTAAGGGTACAAGAACTTGACTTTCCCAGTTGCATGGCATGAGGTTCAAGCCAAAGCATGGGAATGAACTGGGTGTCTATAATATTGATATTCCTCCCTCTCTGGGGTGGAACAAGCAACCAAATATTGGGTCAATCACTATCAACTTACACTGGCACTTTATAAGAAATAATAATGGTGCCTTTTGACAGTAATTTATACATGATTTTTTTTAATAAACAGTACACTTTGCTGCCCAGATTTTCCCCACAACAGTACTATAACAAATGAAGAAATGCCTGTTAGTAAATACCTTGAGACGTGACATCATACTTTTCTGCAGAAACTGATTTTATCTCCATTGTGACTTTATGCAGCAATTCAATTACTTGAACTTGCTTCATGAAATCGTGTAGCATTGCTTTTCCACAGCCCCTAAGATAGGCTTCCAGGATGACCGCAAACCTCTGCTGGTAATGCATGGACTGGGCAATCTCGCTTCTTAAGAACCAAAACAAGAAGTGACCGATTCTTTTGTTCTGGAGGGAAAGAAAAATACTACAATCAGCACACGTTTCTTGACAAAGGGTTTGACAATGCCAGTAACTTTAGCATAAGTTGGCTGTATTCTGAAATACTTACTCTCAAACCCCGTTTTAGCAGAAATCTGGCTAATGCGCTGTCATGATATGGCTCAAATTTCACAGCCTGAGTAATACAAACACAGAAGATGTGTTATTAACATATGTAGGATACTATTGCACTTACACTTTACCAATGACATGTAGAGAACACACTGCTGCAGGAATAGAAAATGTGTAACAAAGCAGGAAAGTAGAAAATGTGTAAAAACTTCAGAGGAAACAAAGTTGAAAACAAAACAAACCAGAAGTTCTCTGTGTTTGATTCAGGAAGCACTTTTTCTTTGCCAAGAGGTTCTTTTCAGGTATATTATTAATGTGACAAATAAAAGAACACAGGGAGTAGCTAACCAACCAGACCGATCAGAGCACATGAAGGCATGTGAACAAAGCGACATTGTTCTCAGGCTGTAGCACAAACCAGCAAGATCAGAAAAAGGTCCGCAGTCTGACTGACACTGAGAAGGCCTGAAAAGATTATTGCTGAACAAAATGACGTATTTGTAATCGTTCTTTAATGAGAATTTTCAATAACAAAGCACTGTTTTTTTTTACAAGATCCACCACTTCAGGGCTGGGGCACCAGGGCTCACTGCTGGGTTCACCAGCAAGCACAGGACAGAGGAGCAGCTTTTTGGAGCACCTAATCCCAGACATTCTGGCCATCAGACCCTACACAGAGAGCAAAACAGAATAAAGGCTCTGATGCACATCCTATATTAATGCAGTACAATGAATCATAGAATCACAGAATGGTTTGGGTTGGAAGGGACCTTAAATATCATCTAGTTCCAACCCCCCTGCCATGGGCAGGGACACCTTCCACTAGACCAGGTTGCTTCAAGCCTCATCCAGCCTGGCCTTGAACACTTCCAGGGATGGGGCATCCACAGCTTCTCTGGGCAACCTGTTCCAGTGCCTCACCACCCTCCCCATGAAGAACTTCTTCCTGATATCCAATCTAAACCTACTCACTTTTCAATTTACAGCCATTACCCCTTGTCCTTCACCAGAACTCTTTTTCTAATGACTCTGTGAGCACAGATGTATTTTTTCTCTTCCAAGAGCCACTCCCCTCCACCCAAACCCACAGATATTTCCAAGCTACTGCTAAAAAAGGGTGGAAACAAAATGTCAGGAACTTTTAAAAAAAGTGTCAGGATTGGATTTTTTTTTTTTTTTTTTTTTGGCTGTTATTCTCCCTCCCATCCCAATATCCAAGGGAATTGATCTACCAGAAAACTATCACACTTCCGGGTACTGGGCTATGCCAGGGAACTTGTCCACTTCAAGTGGTTCTTCCAGCAGCTTCTTTCCTGTTGCTTGAGGGACTCAAATTTATAGGAGGTTTGAACTAAGATTAATGGGGAGAAAGAAGGTATGCAAGTATATCCCATGGCAAGAAAAGAGAAATAAGAAGCATACAGTCTCTGGAATAGAGTCACAAAATCCCTGTCATGGACTGAGGGGGTTGATGAATGGCTTCAGGTTCTGGAAATAGAGCATCAGGAAGCAGCACATGGGGAGATTAAGGGAAAACAAAGGGATGTGCGGAGAGATGGGTACATGTAGTACGCTCAGCTTCCAGTAGCAACAAAGTGTGCAAACCTCTAGAGATAGTTATTCCATAGAATATAATGGCTCTTTCAAGATTGCTGTGGTCTGTAGCTTGCAAAGAAGCAACCAAGCCATCAGCAGAGGTCTACTAAACTCATCAAACAAATCACAGGGGTTTATAAACTCTTAAAAGTCCTGTGGCACACAGTTGTATTTTTTAATTACTAGATTATCTTCACTATTTCTGAAATGTAAATCGTCCTGTGGGTTTATTCTATGATTTCTTTAACAGGAAAAAAGGGCTTTTTCAGTTGACCCTCTAGAATGAACCAACTCATAAAAATGCTACAAAGACTTGTTATTTACAGCTTAACAGACAGGAAAACCAAGCACCAGACTTGCCCTTCTACAGTATCATAGTTCTGCAAGAACTGTCTTGACTGTCTCTGTAATACTATTTTATTTCCCCAAACAACACCATCTCATCTAGGAAAGACAATGAGAACTCACAAACATAGACTGATCTTAAAATATATAGATCCTTTTACTTTGTGTATAAGATTATGAGATTTTTTTTTAATTAATTTTCACTGCAATAGGGCACCAAAAAGCAGTAATTAGTACATAAATTTAAATGGATTTGCTTACAGTTCCAAGAAAGACTATTAAAAACCTCATTCTGGTATATATTTTGCTCAATGTGCTCAGTGCATATCCCTGAAAAACAATTTAATAATGAAATGCAGCCAAACAACCAGCCATTGCTTCAAAACAAAAACTCCCTTACAGAAAGGTTTCAAATCTATTTTAAGCATAATAAGGATGCTTATCATACATTTTTCTAATATTCTTTTATGTTATGTTTTACAAATAATTATTTTTAAAAGTCAAGCACATTTTTCTTTTTTCTTCACAGAGGCAAATATCAACATTTGAATAGCAACAACAACAGGCAGCCATTTAAAAGTCTGCTGGCACTTCATTAGTTCCCTGCATGTACCTTTGCCATGTCAGGTTAGCAGAAGAGCTTTACTCACTGCCACATACAAGCAGTACAGTCGTTGGTATTTGGTTTACAATGGACGTTGCTGTATTTTACCTATCCCATCCATGTTTTATCAACTGCACAGAGAACAAGAGACTTTACAGGAAGCTCAATAGGTTATTTATGACATGGCTGTTTCTATTTGGGATAAACACAGGGGGAAATAAAATGTTTGTTTGATTTCTAACTCTACTGGGAGGTAAAACTGGAAAACCCTGTGCAGAATGAAATAAGCCATAAAGCTTTCACATAGACATGCAAGTGAAAAGTGATGACCATTTGCAGAAGAAACATCTTGGATGTGTCCGTTCTAGCAGAGGAATGGCTGACATCCATCCCATGAAAAATATGGATTTTCAAATACCCTGTGGTACCAATATGTTGCTGCAGGATGGATGGCCTATGCCCTGCTGTTAGCCACAGAAGGAAAGACAAGGAAGCAGCAGAGAGGTAAAAGTTGGGATCTAGTATTTTCTTCCTTCTGGGGATGGCAATCTCTGAATTTCCTACTACATTTCTTACTAAAAATGCCACAGTGAAGTTAAGCTACTATGATTTTAGGCTACAGTAGTTTAATTTACTGTTAGAGAGATTTATTCTTTTTAAAACTCTCCAGATTTGTACTTCCTGAAAACAAGTAATTTGAAAAACAAATGAAAAATGAACTATTTACCCCATTGTCTCAGGCACTTTGATACCAACCAATCACCATCCCAAACCCCTAATTTGGATACAAAAGTGAATAAAATTGCTGAGCCACATGTAGACAGCAAGAGCTGGCAAGCCAAGCGTATATATAGCAGCAGCTACGTGGGAGGCCCAATGAGGTAAGTGTAGCAGCTCCTCTGGTTAATGCAGAAGTGCATAAATTCTGCCTGGGGAGCCTCATTTTCAGACACGCGAAGACAAGGCTAAAAAGGCCTTGTTTAAAGCACTACTGGAACACAGGAAAACCTGAAACACTAACTTCATTTTCCTGGGAACCTGGTCTCTCTCTGAACCCGCAGAAATAACAAGTTCCATCCCGCAGGTTCCCAGGCTGCAGCAGTTCCTTTTTTTTTTTTCCTTCCCTTTGAAAGCCAATTCTGTTCTCCGATTCTCTGAAAAAAGTATTTCCTGCTCAGTGGGACGATAGCCTTTCTGCAAGAATCAGCGCCCTGTCGGGTCTGGGAAGCCTGTAGAGTCACCTTGCTTCACGGGACACATTTACCAGGAAGAACCGCGGGGTTACACCTTTCATCAGCCATCAGACGTGACTTTGCCACTGACAGGCCACCCAGCTCCGGCACCATGTTGCGAGAAAGCAAACAAACCAATTTTCTTGTGTAAACTGACATAAACTTTCCTGACATTTCATCTGGAAGATCATACACAAAAAGCTTCAAATCGATACAGCAGAGATTCACTGCCATTAAAACCACAGTTTTTCACCCAACTTTCCAGAATGAATAGATCTTATTATGGAGTCTTAACAATACTTTATTTACTTTTTGAAAAATTTTGGAAGCTTCTAGATAAATCTGGTCCCCTTAACAGTACAAGACTGAAGTCATTGCCACGTACCATGTAACTGCACTGTTATTCTTGACCTAAAACCCAAGCCCAGATGTTTCTTCAGGCCTTCCCCATGTCAACATCTGCCTTTCTTTCTGTCTACACCCTTTCTAAACTATTGGTAAAGCTGGGCAACAAAGCTCCAGTGTTGTGTGATTCAGCACTGTGATGCGAACAGGATTAGAGACCGCACAGTCAGGATTTGCTCCCACCATAGCCCTGTTAGTGTTGGCAATTTCCAGAAGAACATACCACTGTAAACACAAGACAAACTGTAAGACACAAGGCAATGGCAACACAACAACATCAGCACAAGTTGAAATGAGGAAAGTGTGTTTTGAGTTAATTTGGTTACTATCGCTGCTTTGACTAAACACTGAGGACTTCAAAACCAGGGATTACTAACTAGACCTTCTACGATGGGAATGATGATGGGGTAATGCAAATATTCCTGGAAGGCAGAGTCCAAGAATGCAAATACACCTTACCTGCACAAGCTGTAAAAGATAATGAAGAACATCATCATCTTCTAAACTTTCCAGTTTTTGAACTGCCATCGCCCGGACATTTTCATCTGAAAAGTTACAGTCCAGGAGCTGCATTGTGAGTCCAACATCTAAAGTGCTTTGATCCCAAACCTCCTTTTTAGCTAGTAACTGGTATGTTTTGGCTACTACTTCTTGTTGTCCCCATTTCACAGAGCTAAGCAGCTTAGGATACGCTCTGGGGTGCTTTATGCTTTCATATCTAAAGTGCCACAAGAGTTCTTTGTCCTCAGGAGAAAGTGGATTAAGGGGGTCCGTTGCTATGATCTCTTCAAGTTGTTTGCGAAGCTGGTTGGGCATTTCAGCTCGTGTCCTATCCCCTTGGGGGTCTGATGTTATTCTGTGCTTGGGCAAGGCAATTGGGTGACAGTATTTGTCCAGCACAATAGAGATAGCCATTGAGTTTTCTTTATCTGGGTTAGTTGCTGATGTCAGTTTGTCTGCATTTATACTTCCTTGTTCTTCCCCCTTGCCTGGAATTTTCCACATGTGGAGCACATACTCCCCACTTCGCAGGAGGAAACGGTGATCTATCAACAAAAGATTTACATAATAGAGAAGCTGAGTTTTGCATTTTGAATCAGAGCTGGGCGATTCATGTGACTGAAGGTTCGTCTTTGTGGACAGTCCCTGCGCTTTACCACAGTATATCTGAAGATTCAAGAGTGCACCTTTAGGCAAATCCTTGATTTTGATATCGAACTCCAACCAAATATTCCACAGAACCTCCTCAGTAAAAGGCTTTGATGAAGTCCTCCTCTGTGACAGGAGCTGTTGCCCATGTTGAATGTTAGCCTCCACAAACACAGTAAGATCAGTATTTCTTGGTAAAACTGGGATATCTATGCCAATTATTTTCACCCTAAATTTCCTATTACAATCCCACAAAGAGATAGTGAACACCCTCTCATGATCTTTTCCATCTATTGTCAATTGTTCGTGATACCCTGTAACTCCGGTACAGTCATCCACCAAGGGCCACTCTTCGTTCTGAACCTCATCCTCCTTTGGGTCAGGGGGATTGTCTAAGACAAGGTGGATTTCTTCCCCATTCTTAAGGCATTGTCTTATCCAGTGAAAATCTTTGATTGGTGTCTCTCCAGTAATGTACTCATCTCTGCCACAAATCCTGAGAACAAAATCCAGTTCACTGTGATCTTCAGGAATATCCATCAAAGACTTCTTCTTTGCCATTTTTGTGAAAAAGCTGTGGAGAATCATATCTGGAGTGTCATCTATTGACACTTTAATTTTTTGGCTAGTTGTTCCTCTATGTATGATTATGAAAATGTTATTATTAGTGATCTTTTTAAATAAATATTCTGGGAGTGGCTTAGATGTAGTCCATGGGTGCATTGCATACAATTTAGGATCTCTACAGGCTACCTCTATCATTCGTGGAGTGACTAATCTGCGACGGGTAAATTCTAGTTCATCATCATGCACATTGCTTACATCAGTGACATCATAACCAATTAAATCGTTAAGCTGCCGCTGAAATTCCTGCACTTCTTCTGATGGCTTTTGTTTCTGGACAACATAGATCTTGCCTACCTTTTTCTGTAACACTTTCCAGTACAGTATGCAGTCCAATGTCTGTAATACTTGATGTTTATCATAAATTTCATACCATTGCCCCTTCTTCTGATACTGCAGAATAAACTGATCTGGGGTGAACGTGTGGTAGAAGTCCGTGGTTTGACTCATCTCTATTGCACGCATCCAAATCTGTGCTTTCATTTGCTCAACCGTACAGTTGCCAGCTATTTCGAGTAACATAATTTCTGGCACTTTAGTATGTTTATTGCTTGTAGGTAAAATGAACTCAATGGATATGAGTTCCATTGATGACAAATTACTTGACGTACAATGAGGTTTCATTCTTCTTCTCCTTCGTTTGTTTTCTTCTCTCATAACAACAGGCTGGTCATAATCCCCCAACTCCATGCCAGAAGAAATCTAGCAAAACATACAAATATTTGATTACTTTCTCATTTACATTTTTCTTTACTCTTATTTTTTAACTAATTAAAATCACAAGCCAGTAAAAATCCTGCTAAGTATATGCTTTTTATATTTGTCCTTTCCCTTAATTTCTGGTCTTTGATTTAAATAAACCACCTCAGATGTAATCAATTCAAACACAAATATAGAAAAAAACCCCAACAACTCAGTGATTAAACAATTGAGATAGAACTTCTAAACAGCCTTCCCAGATTTCACTGAGGATAAGCAGTCTGACTATACTGATTTGTTCATTCTTCTGTTTGATCAAGCACTGATTCTTCTGCTGCCTCACCTGGTTTGGTGCTGTTGATACTAACATAAGTGGATTTTCATAGAAATCTGTTACTCTATGTGAGCAGAACACGACCTACTGAGCTCCAGGAACGACATCAAGGAACAAACCAAGAAATTTATTTGCAGCCTGGACAGATGAGCCTACTCCCATTTTTCTCTGCCTCTCTTTAGTGATGAGGATTCTTACATAAAAAAATGGCCCTTAGGATTCAAAAGTCAGGGACTACTTCTGAAAACAGTTACTGAATGTGCATCTAAATTCAAGCCTAGCATCCTTAAACATGCTTCATTCAAATAAATCAATCCACCAGACTGAAAACATCCATCAGTTTTAAAAGAAAACACTTCCAGTATGAGCTATTAGTTTGTTACAGAAGAAAATGCTCCTAAGCTGATGCCGATTTATTACCCTATGTATCAAATCACACCTAAACCATAAAACAACTCTGAATACCTTACCAGCTTTCTGTAAACAAAAAATATTGTTGCTCACAGCTGATCTCCACTGAACAATATTAAAGTGGAAATTATCCACCGAGAGCTAGGAAGAGGAAGGCAGCGGTGATTGAGCGCGCTCACACAAGCTACCCGTTGGGCTTTCTTTCACCAGGTTTAGGCTACAGTGACATACTGAACGTCTTTTCCAGACAACACTTTTTACACACAAAATCTTTCTCTACCTGCTGGAAAAACAAAACCCAATGTAACAATGCCTTACCGGGTAACAAAACAAGAAGATAAAAATGTGAAAGGTTAAACTGAAACAACACAGCATGCTCACTAAAATTCTCAAGTTCCGGAAAGCAACGACTGTGGACACACTGCCCCTATAATTGACAAAACATGATGAAACATTACCTGGTTATAAAATAAAGGCTGAATTGCTGAAGACGACTCATTTGTTTAATTTCTGAAGTTCCTATTTTTTTAAAGGAAGATCATTCACACACAAAAATTCTTCGTTTAAGCTGTTCTGCTTTTCTTGCTCGCCCTCATATCCAGATGCAAAGGAAGTGCTGCACTTACCAGGAAGGAAGTTTTAACCAAGTTGATTATACATACGATTGCTCATTTAAAAAAAAGTCAGAATGCTTTTCCTGTTACAACAGTAAAAATACACTAACAGTACACCAATTCAGTTTTAACACACATGCACATAAGACATGCTTAAAGCCTTTTAAAGACAGCTAAGAATAATCCAGGGGGAAAAAAAAATCTAATGAATCCAAATAAAACACTTAAAAACCAATATATTTTGGAGAGCCTAACTATTTTATAAAAGAGTTAAATAAAAATACTGATAAAAGACAACTAAATCTGCAACGATTCCTTATTTTTATTTTGGTGGTGACAGCCCCTTGAGGACTCCCAACTTAAATCCAATGGAGTTTTTTAAGCCAGTCTCCATACACATGCCACATTGAAATGGTATCTGAGGTGGTAACCTCAGCAATAGAACTGCTGGGCAACCTTCTTCCTTGTGGTTTTAACTCATCCATTTATGATTACAAAGACACAGTGAAATACACTAGAAATGCTGACTTAAGATTCAGAAAGAATTTGAACTACGGATTTTCAACCCCAATTCTTGTGGTTAACTACAACCTGAAGAGCTACTCCCTTACTAATAAAAATCCACATGGGAAAAGATTTGGGAAAACATGTATAAATCAGAAAGAAAGGAGAAAAAACTCGAATCGAATCCTTTTTTCCTTATGACTTTTCCAGTGAAATAGTGACCATTCAGGAACGATCCATCCCAATGAAAAGGAAGTTGGGTAAAAGAGCCAGGAGACCTGTGTGGTTGAACAAGCAGCTCCTGGACAAACTGAGGTGCAAAAAGGAAGCCTACAGAGGGTGGAAGCAGGGACAGGGTGTCTGGGAGGATTACAGGCAAGTTGTCTGAGAGGTCAGAGATCAAATTAGGAAAGCCAAAGCCCTGACAGAATTGAACCTGGCCAGGGACATCAAGGCCAACAAGAAGGGCTTCTATAGGTACATAGAGGATAAAAAGATCAGGGAACATGTGGGCCCTCTGCAGAAGGAAACAGGAGAGCTGGCTTCCCGGGATATGGAGAAGGCCGAGGTACTCAATGCTTTTTTTGCCTCGGTCTTCACCGTCAGGGGCGCAAGCCATAGCCCCAGAGTCATGGAAGACAAGGGCAGGGACTGGGGGAATAGAGAGCCACCCATGGTCAGTGAGGATCAGGTTTGGGAACACCTGAGGAACCTGAAGGTGCACAAGCCCATGGGACCTGATAGAATACATCCACAGGTCCTGAAAGAACGGGCAGAAGAATTTGTGAAACCTCTATCCATCATATTTGAGAAGTTGTGGCGGTCTGATGAAGTTCCCACTGACTGAAAAAGGGGAAAAAAAAGCCCCATCTTTAAAAAGGGGAAAAAAGGAGCATCCAGGGAACAACAGGCCAGTCAGTCTCACCTCTGTGCCTGGCAAGATCATGGAGCAGATCCTCCTGGAAATCATGCTAAGGCACATGCAAAACAAGAAGGTGACTGGGGACAGCCAATGTGATTTCACCAAGGGCAGACCATGCCTGAAGAATATGGTGGCTGCCTATAATGGGGTCACAACCTTGGTGGATAGAGGAAAAGCAACCTATTTCGTCTACCTGGACTTGTGCAAAGCATTCAATACCATCCCACACAACATCCTTGTTTCTAAATTGGAGAGGCATGAATTTGATGGATGGACCCATTCAGTGTGAGCGGCGTTCCTCAGGGGTCGGTGTTGGGACTGGTACTGTTTAACATAGGACAGCGACATGGATGGTCTCATTGAGTACACCCTCAGCAAGTTTGCTGACAACACCAAGCTGTGTGGTGTGGTCGACACGCTGGAAGGAAGGGATGCCATCCAGAGGGACCTTGACAGGCTGCAGAGGTGGGCCACTGCCAATCTCATGGAGTTCAACAAGGCCAAGTGCAAGGTCCTGCACCTGGGTCAGGGCAATCCCAAGCACAAGTACAGGCTGGGTGGAGAGTGGATAGAGAGCAGCTCTGAGGAGAAGGACTTGGGGGTACTGGTTGATGAAAAGCTGAACATGATCCAGCAGTGTGCGCTGGCAGCCCAGAAACTAGATGATCCAACCCAAACCATCTATGATTCTATAACTTTTAAGAGCAATAAGCAGTACACAGCCTAGAGCAGTAGATATCCTACAAAAATGATGACTCGAGGAGAAAAAAATATGAAATATCTGAAAGGTCTTTTAGCAACAGTGAAGTGGTGATTTTTTTTTAACGTATGTGTACTTCCTATCTGTGCTGGGTTCAGCCAGGAA